GTCAGGCAGGCCCCGAGTCAGCCTCCGGCTGCTTTTTCCACAGCCAGCATTGACCCAAACCCTGCGACACCGCTCCGGGGCCTCCCTGCGACACCTCTCCCTCAGCACCACCAAAGCACTCGCTTTGGAGCCCCCAAAACAGGGGCTGTGAGCCCTGCTAATGCCGAGGGGGGTAGGAGGCACAGCCCAGCCCCGGGGACAGGGCAGGGAGCGGGCTCCGAGCCAGGGCACCCCGAGGGGAAGGCTGGTGACTGGCTCCAGGCACCGCTTCCCCCTTTCTCGTGAGTCAAGCAGAAAACATAAATGAAAGCATAGGCAAAGGCAAAGGCGCCCCAGCCCTGCCACCCCCTCAGGGTCGGGGTTTCGTGACAGTTACAGGTGGATTCACCACCAAAGCAGCTGACTGGGTGCCGGGACAGCCCCACGGGGACGCCTCTCCCAGCACAAGACCGGCGCGGTGCTGGCGAGGCCACGGTTACTCAGTGGCCGCTGGGTGCCATGCTCACAGCTGGAGACGCGGGGTGAACTCATGCTCACGTGGAGGAATTTCCAACAAGAATTGGAGGAATTTCCAACAAGAATTTGCTTGCAGCTTACAGCACGGCAGGAAAGCATCTGCGCTCCACCCAGCCACACATCTGTGGCTGGCCGGCCGCAGGCACCCGCTCCCCAAAGGGAGCATCACGGGCAGCCCACCGCCCTCACGCACTTCTCCGGGGTGAGGGCAGCGGGGTTAGGGACAGAGCGCGTGATTTCCCTCCCCTGCCCAGCACAGGTCTTGGCCACTTACTCTCCCCTCACCCCCAGCATTCAGTTCCCCCTGAGATGAGGGTTTTGGGGAGCCCCAGGGCCCTGAGCTGCAGTCAGGAACCCAAACAGAAACAAAGCAAAGCCTGGTTTTACAAAAGGACTGAATTAATTATAGAAAAAAAGCAGGGGGGGTTGTCTCAGTCTCTGAAAGCCCAGCACGGGGCAGCAAGGGGAAGCCTCTGGGAGGCCGAACGCGGAGGGAAGCAGCCCCCAGGCAGGGCCAGGCTGAGCCCGCAGTGACGGAGAGGCTGTCCCAGGCATCCCAGTCCCAGCTGAGCATCCAGGCTCTCCCGGATTTCTTGATGGCTGCCCGGCAGCCCTCTCCTGCACGGCAGAAGGGAGGTGCCCCGCTCAAAGCGCAGCGATGGCTTTGGCAGCGACACGGCGGCCCAGGGGCAGGCTGAGATCCGTGATGGCCAGGACAATTTTGGGACTGGACATGGTGGACACTTTCACCAGCTCCGAAACCTGCCCGGAGAGAGGAGAAAGACAGCTGACTCGCAACAGGGCTGAAGACAGGCGAGCTGGGCAGCAAGACTGCCCTGGACGTGCCTGCCTGTCCTGTGGGACCAGCACCCCGGAGCGCCCTGCGACCAGGGAGAATGTCACGGCCGCGGGACTCACCATGGTGAAGGGCATGAACTGGAGGATGCTGCCGCGGCTGCCCTGCTCCAGGCAGTCCACGCACTCCTCCATGAACCACTGGACGAACTGGGTGTGGGTGCCGGCCATCTTGGCCCCCAGGATGGAAGAGATGAGCAGGAAGAGGTTTGCTGCGGAGATGGGGAAATATCAAAAGCCAGGCCAGTTCAGGGAGGCTGGGGGGTGGCCCAAGCCTCCCGCACAGGGGACAGGTCCCCACCAGTGGCTCGGCACGGTTGGATCCCACCCCACAGCCAGGCCTCGCCGTTGGGTACCCCCGGTGGGATGCGGCCCCGTTACCTAGCACCCTGTTCAGCGGGTCCCTCATGCTGACGGTGTGAAGCTGGGAGGCGGACAGCGAGCTGCTCATCGAGCGATCTGTTGGGGAGGAGAACACGCGTCGGCCTGGGGGCAGGCTGGACGGCCTCTTGGCCCCCTCGGCTGTGCCAACGTGCCCACCTTGGCCAGCTCCGGCCGTTCGAACTCGCCCCATCCTTGGGCTCCAGGAGGGGCTTTGCCATGAGCTACCTCATGGAGTGGGAGAGGTTTGGACCATGGTCCTTGATGCCCTCCGCGCCCAAACGAGCGCAGTCTTTGCCGCTCGGGCACGCCAGAGACGCGCAGCAGGCAGACAGTCTCTGCCTTGGTCACCATCCCTCTTTGCCGGGGCATGAGCAGCCCTGGCAGGCAGCGTGGGCCCACGCATGCCCCAGGCATGACAGAGTGCAGGAGCCCGGGGAGGGCTCCACACGCTGCCACCGCTGCCCTTGGGGAGTGACACTTCGCTCTTGCACAAGCCAGATTTATTCCGAGTCTGACCAAGTTTAACGACATCGCCAAAGGGCAAGCGTGAGTGAGACCGTGAGTGTGCCTCCCTTGCTGCTCCCTGTTCGGTTTTAATTGCAGCAGTGACTCGTCCCTGACGCTTCATGAGGGCACGAGCAATGTAACGCAATGTCACGATCAGGAGAATAGCACTCTGCCAAGGCGAAGCAACGTGCATGCTACACATCCTGCGCACGCTGCTGGCAGCACAGCCGGCTGGGTGGAGCGAGCCAGATGTTCGACAGCTGCACGGCAGCACTCAAATCTCACTCTCAGGGTACAATTTAGCTACCAGAGCTGAGGCATGTCCAATGGACTAGCAGCAAATCTTGGGACAGACCAAGGGGGTTTATCTGACCCAAACTGCAAAGCACTGCTGGGTGCTCCTGCGGGAGAGGAACCGGGCCATCTCCGGTCCAACAGGATGGGAATCTCCTGGAAATGCTCTTGTGCAGACCCCATAGGACACAGCTACTGGGATCCACCTTGTGCTGCTGTGAGGATGCTCACTAAAAAAAGAAAGCCCTCCCACACTTTTCTCATGGAATCACATGAGCTACGTGGCTGCTGCAGGAAGCAGCATTTCCACATCGCTGCAGCAAACAGCCCAAAAAAAGTCCTGAATGTCACTGGAAAGAGGTGGAACTGCCTCAGAAGTTAAAAAAAGATAGTGAAATAAAGGGAAAACCCCATATTTCAACAGTAATGAAACCAACAAAAACCACAAGTTGATGGATGCGTTGAAGACTAATAAATAAAGAGTAACTTAGGACAAGGGCATCAGGAGAAACAATGACCAAGGCATATCCTGACTCATTGCTCAGGAGTCCAGACAATGTATGTGGGAGCCGTGACAGCGCCGTGACAGCCCCCCACCATGGCAGGAGAGCACGGACACCCCCTCGGCACGTCCTGCCGGAGCTGTCGCAACCCACAGCGCAGCGCTGCGGGGACACAGAGATGTAGGGACTCATCAGCTCCGCTCGCTGCCTTGTTAAGAACAATGGAATTTCAGGATTTAGCCACAGACATTAGGAATGTCACCTCCTGCCATTCTTGCTGCAGCACATCAGCTCTTTGGTCCCACGCAGACTGGCTGAGGGTGACAAGGTTCTAAAAAAAACCACCCTGAGCCCCTCATGTGTGACGCACTGGGTTGGGTGGCAACGTCACAGAGGGAAGGTGTAACCTCATCCCCTTTCCTAAGTTGTTCTGATCAGAGAAATAAAGACCTTGACCTTTTCTAAGTGCAAAAGCTCCAGGGTAACTCAGCAAAACACACTCGAGAGCTCTAAATCTTCACCTGGCCAGCTTGGGAAGAGAAGCGTTTTTGTGTCAATACACATTTCACGCCCAGAAACGAGCAGCGAGGCAGGACGGTGCCTTCCCCAGGAGCCGCCCTCCCGCACTTACTGGGGCTGGAGAGGATGTTGGAATCTTCCTCGTTGGAGCTCAGCAGGCGCATCAGCTTGGAGGGCTGCGTGTCGTCCAGCGGGAACAGGCTGATGTAATCCTGGCAGGGCAGAGAAGGTTCAGCCCCACCAGCCCCTCTCTGAGGGGGGATTCTGGCCCCGCTCCCCGGGGCTGACGACCCACCCTGGGCTCTGCGCAGCCCCACGGCCCAGGACTATGATCTCCATTCATCCAGAGCATCTCAGCCTGGGCCAACCACGTACGGAGCATCTCATTACAGCCCCCCTTCCCCAGAAAAGAGAAGGGAAAACCCTGCTCTTTAAGGCCAAAGGTCCTCAGACAGCCCAGACAACCTGGGTAGGGGGTCTGGTCTCAGCTACCCACTCCTCCTGCCACCATCACCTCCTGCAGACGCTGCCCGCTTTTGCACACAGAGAGCCTCCAACCAAACCCCGCTCCATGCCGGACACACCTCAATATCCTCTCGGTGCCTCTTCTTCTGCCTGGCGGACGCCTGGCCCTTGTTGTGGGATGAGTAGGAGCTCAGGGCACACCAGACGGAGAGCCTGGGGACAGAGCAGGGACACTGCGAGGTGCTGCCAGCCCACCCGGATGGCGGCACACGAGGAAGGGAAGATGGCAGAGCCCAGAGCGTGCGCCGGGACGGGACGCTGCAGGTCCCTCCTCAGCGAGAGGCAGCAGGGAACGGGGCCCAGGACACCAGCGTGTCTGCTCCTGCCGGCACTGTGCTGGGGCCAGAGCGGGAAGCAGGTGGCTGGGACCCCCGTCCCAGCACAGAGCATATCCGCATCTCCAAAAACAGGCCCACCTGCCCCAAAGGAGAGGGTGACCACGGATCCAGGGTCTTACTTGGCCAGGGCCTTCCCCGGCGGGTCCATGAGGGTGTGCCACTTGGAGGAGTCTGTGAGCAGGTTGGGCAAGATGTGGCCCAGCAGGGTCAGCGTCAGCTGCTGCATGTCCAGGCAGAAGATGGCATAGAGCAGCTCCACAGCCCGCAGCGTGTGCTCCTTCCGCGTCTCCTTCAGCAGCTCCTGCGAGGCAGAGGGCAGGGCTGAGGGAGGCAGGGGCATGGCTGGGCCTGCCCCGCCCGCATCCCGCA